TTTCTGGAGATTATCCAAGGTGCTTCATGACCCATTATTGGGTCCCAAGCCCAACTTTGGGAACCAAAGTGCAGTGGTTCCCAAACTTTTCAGCTTTTGACCCACAAAATAACAGTAGAGACCTGAGCCACCAACTATTTTTGGATGATAAACATTTGTATCAGGTCAACAAAACATGGGCATGGTAACAATATTTTTATACTACATTTATCATTTTAAATATACTAACCTCACTCCTTTGTAACAATTAAGGCAAAATGTAATTAATTTAGAAAATCTTTTCAGGACCCCACCTTGATGTTTCAGGACCCCAACTTTGGGAACCACTGCTCTACAGTGAGTGAAAACTGGGGACAGCTGAGACAGTCTGACAGACTCAGCTGCTGTCAGACTGTGTGAATCCAGCCTCAACCAGCTTTCATTGTAACTTTAGACACTGAAGTCTTAAATTACTTTATATTCTGAACAAGCATCTGACAGTGCACTTGTGTACAAATATTTTAGCAATGTATAAAGTGTATTTTTAGCTATATTCACAGTATATATTAAGGGGAAAGTGTTTTCTGTTCTCAGAGACTTAAAACAGAATAAGCTTTTGTGATATTAAAGAAGCAGGCTTTATTATGACTCTTTTATAGTAATGCCAGATTTGTTCTAATTTCAGCTGTTCCACCAAACACAGAAATAACAAGATGCATTTGTTAAAAAAAGAGGAAAATTAAACATTTTTAATGAAATGTGATTTCTGTAATATTGCATGTCAGCTGTCTTTACTAACTTCTGTGCAGTTGTTGTGCACTTTTTGCAGCTCAACCAGTTAAATGTGAATTTACAAAGAATAAAAGAACTCTTCTGCAACCGATCCAGACACACAACAGTAGTAAAGAGCTGTTCATCAAACGTGCAGTGTGTTTCTGAGGTCTCAAACTACTGACAACATCAAACCAACCTTGAGAAGAAGGAGTCTGGGATCCACATCAGAGTCTGTCTGGAGGTGCTGAACCTGCAGTATAAATAAAACATGCTTATTATAAATGGCATCTCTTTTAACAAGTGCAGGATCACAGTCTAAGTAAAGCTTTTACTGGATGTTTTGTTGAGCAGATGACTCGGGATTTATTTACTGGTGTAAAATAAAATTTGTTTTTAAGGTACATTGTGTACAATCTGAATTATTTATTAGTGTAACAAAGCAGTGATGATAACAGACATGAAGTCGTTTGTCTCCATTTACATCAGTGACTGTTAGATCATCCGGAAATTATCATACATTTAGACAAAGCTCCAGTTTACAAAAATGAGACAATCAGTATCCGATGGACGAGGCTTACCTTGTCCCACCGACATTTAACTGGATGATCTCTCCCATCGCGGGCGAAGGGCTGTTACCATTAGTGGCCATGATGACCGAACCGGGGACTGCTTTTTTACAAGACAGTGTTGTTGTGTTGTGACTATTCTTTCACAAAGGCTAGCCTGCTAACCCTCCTCTCTCAGCAGCTCAGCTGATGCCCCGACTCCCCCAGACTCACAGCGTCTCCCTCGTCCCACCTTCCATCAAAAACCCGCTACACACGACCCGCTCGTTCTGCGCCAGTCGCTTTATAGAACCTCCGCAGAGTGGACAAGTCAGGAGGCATTGTTTTATCAAAAATAAATAAATAAATAAACAATCAGAGCAATACGAGAACCCCCTTATTTTCCCGAGCAAGCCTGCTTGCATCACTGCTCTGCATGTAACTCGTTGGACACCAGGTTGCGCAGGATTTTAGCATCGTCAAACAGCTGTGTTCTCTGATTCCAGGAGTGACAAGATAGTTCCCCCCCACTTCCTTACTGTTTCGCTGAAACGCGTAGCTTTAAAAGTTACACTCCTCTTTCGTAAACATACAATATGCAGACAAATTGAATGCTACTTGTGATTTTCATGACTTCTAATTATTAAAGTGTGAAATAAAATGACAATGTCAACATTTTGTTTGTCAGCCCCTTGTAAACTCCGAACAAGAACGTGTTTTCGGTCGACATGAAATCTCTGAGTTTATCTACGTCTGATGCTGCGCTGAATGACAGTGGATGCGAATTGAAATAATTTTGAAAAAGAGGGGAAAATAGTCCGTGGTTCTTTTTGAGGACTCATTTAATATATAAATCAGTGCAATATGTCATAAAGCGAGGAGTAAAACAAGAATGCTCATTAGCTTGCTGTGTGACAAGAAAATGTTTTATGGCAGGCCGTTGTGACATATAATCAAAGCACACATTTCCCCCTCAGTGACTACCGGTAGTCAAAGTGGCTTATTCTTCCTAAAATAACATTACATAAATAATACATACATAACATTAGTGTAAAAAAGTATTTAACATAATGGCTGGCTGGACTTGAAATATATTACAAATATCCATAAAAAATTCTCAAAAAGCTTATGGTCTGAGAATGTAATTCTTTTTATTCATAATTATCGGTTCAAATACATGCAATGACAAAAACAAATGGCTTTTTTATATTCATGTATTTTTCTTTACTTTTAGCCCTAGAGAAGTAGTCTTGTTTTTCTAGAATGAGCAGGGTTTGTCTTTAAAAATATATTACACGGAGATGCTTGCATTTAAAAGTGCTTATTTGTAATTAAATTGCTGCGGTTTCAGTTCTTGATGTTTGAAACTTTAAGGATGCATAGTATGCGCTCACATTTTTCTGTTTTTGTTAGCTTTTTGTATTAGAAATGTTAGGTACTTTTTTTTCTCTTTGAATACCTAAATTGCTGGAATGATAATTTGACGAGGAACAGCGTAATTATGGACACACTACTTAAAAATGTAAAATAAATAAAAAATATATGGTAAGTTTACTTCCCATACAGTATCGGTACGCGGTGTACTCTAGCAGCGCTGCGTTTTCTGTGCGCGCGCTGCACTCCTCGAGAACCCGCCCCGCCCCTCCCACCTCTGATGAGAGAAAGGACTCGAGATGCTACTTTTTATGACGAACTAGCATGTTTGCTCTCACCAAGTATTTACTGCTTTCCCTAACATGTAACGCAAAACGAAATATTTTGGGGGTCATGCTGTGTTCCTGGGTAAGTTTTTGTTAATTTATGTTTGAAAGAGTTTGTGGCTGCAAACAATTTGTTTATTTACCAGCTGAGAGAAAGTTAGCAAACTACTGGGTGCTTGAACTCTTAAGCTAATGGTAACATTGAACGTTAGCTTTAACAAACCTGAACACCAGCTACGGTCATTTATTTTTAAGATATGTTTGTCTCCTTGCGCCACGTCCTCGCAAGTCAAAGCTACTATGAGCAGGACGTAAACTTTGTCTCTAGTTGTTAACTTTGTGAAAGGGTCGTAAAGGTAAAGTGACTCAACGCGCTTCTTATTTGTTGTGTAATATCTGTAGCCCTTCTCCCTCTCCGAGCATTACACCGGTGGCCTGGTCTTGTAAAGGAGAATGGATTTGTGACCAGTTCAGTCAGCGGGAGGAGAGCTGGAGACAGAGGCGTCCCATCAGTCGTTGCTGCCCCAGAATCGGAAACCTAACGAAGCGACGTCAGGAAGGTTGGAGGTGATGTCGGAGGAGGCCGAGGTGAAAGTATGTCCAGGTCCGGACGGGAAGCCGGAGTCTACCGCCGGGAACAGCGGTAATACGGAACAGGTACCCTCCTCTCTGGCCTCTCCAGCGCCTGTTGCCACCTCAGCCACCGAGGATGAGGATGAGAGTGAAGATGAATCCGACATCCTGGAGGAGAGTCCTTGTGGCCGCTGGCAGAAACGTCGAGAGGAGGTACACTATCATTTTACACCACAGGCATATTGTGATAAAGTTCATTATTTTCTGTAATGTACTGATAAACGTTAAACTTTCATATATTTTAGATTCATTGCTCACCAACTGAAGTAGTTCAAGCCTTTTATTGTTTTAATATTGATGATTTTGGCAAAAAAAACTAAGGAAAAACAAAATCCCTATCTCAAAAAATTAGCATATTTCATCCGACCAATGAAAAAAAAGTGTTTTTAATACAAAAAAAGTAAACCTTCAAATAATTATGTTCAGTTATGCACTCAATACTTGGTGGGGAATCATTTTGCAGAAATGACTGCTTCAGTGTGGCGTGGCATGGAGGCAATCAGCCTGTGGC